AGAAATCCTTCTTTTACCCATTAAATATGGGGCATTTCCCCTTAAATCTGGCTTTTTCTGCTAGAAATCGATGTTTCCCATTAAATCTGTGGTCTTTCCCTTTCAATATGGCTCTTTCTGCCAGAAATCCCTGTATTTCCTCTGAAATATCGCTTATTTTCCTAGAAATCCCTGTTTTTCCCCTTAAACATGGCTTGTTTTCTATTACTGAGTGTGCTGCCTTGTCTCGGAGCCATCTAGAACTATCTGTGCCCGTGACAGAGGACAGCAGGCCTGCAGTCCTTCTGGCCAAAAATAAAGATATGAATGATAATATGAACGATAATAATAACAACAACAACAATAATAAATCAGCAGCAAGGATCTTAGGAGGAAATGTAATTTTACTAAACATGATATGGGAATGCAAGATAACGCAATATTATAAACTGAAATTGAAATTTAGGGTAATAAATGATATAAAATGAGAGAGCGAGCGTCTGAAAGCAAAAGCCTTGCTTTGAACTGCAGGCGCACGGCTGGGGAGCGAAGCCACGCACTGCAGGGCAGCGAGCAAGGGAGAGATCCTGGGACTTCCTGCCATGGCTGATCTTCCCCTCTGAACTCAGAGTCCTCTGGGTCTGCAGTTCTTCTCTGCTGAGAGCCAGGCATCCAGAAAGTTGTCCGTCCACAGACCTGCAGTATTGACTCCTTAATTCCCTGTGCTTTACATGATGTTACGATGTGGAGTGCCAATAACAAGGATGGTCAAACCATGGCACCAGATGGGGCGTTTGCAGCTTTGCTCGGCACACACAGTCTGCTAGGACAAACAATGCTGCAGGAATCAGTCTGTGCACTGGTGATGAATTCATCTGACTTCAAAGTACGTTGTGCAGAGATGACCCTGTTGTCTATCAGGAGCTGCCAATGCAGAGACCTAAGGACATCCCCAGGGAGAGCAGTGAGGAAGAGAAAATGCCATCTTCTGCTGGAGAGCTGGGCCGGGCTGCTGGGACACAGGGAGCTCATAAAAGTGGGCAGTGCTGCAGAGAGACGGCTGTGCCCAGGAGCAGCTCTTGTGCACAGCACAGCCTGCAGGTGACAGGAGGAGAGCAGAGCAAGGAGAGAGAGCTTGTAGGATGTGCATGGTGTGAGCAGGCTGTGAGCTCACTGGAGGAGCATCGCTGGCAGCCTCTGACAAGGTCAGTCTCACTGCAGGCTGTGACTCTGCCGCCTGCCAGGCTCGGTGCTCAGCCTGCCTGGGGAGCTGCCCAGGGCGCTGCGGGGAGATGTGTGGGGGGAAGGAGCCCCTCGGCAGGGCAGGGCAGGGCAGGGCAGGGCAGGGCAGGAGCCTTCTGCTGCTGGGGGCATGGGGATCACAGCTTCAGCGCTGCCAGTGTCTCCAAGGGCACTTTGCAAGAGGAGAGACAAGGCAGGGATTTTCCCATACCTGTCCTTAGGGAAGGAGAATGAGTTGGAGGCAGAGATCTGAAAGGAGATGTGAAATATGAACACAGCTATAAGAGTCCTGAACTGGACGTTTCTCAGCCTGCAGTTACACGCACAAACTCCTCATGTGCTTTCAGCCCCTCTTCTCCCAAAGGATTGCACCAGCTGAAATTTCCGTGCTTCTCTGCAGACATGAATAATGCACTTGTCCAGCAAACAGGCAGCTTTCTCTAGTAGAAATTCAAGTGCACAGAGGTAGGAATGGGCACTCTGAGTGCAGACAGACGAAAGATACATGAATGGAAATATGTCATAGGAAGAAAGTATCCAGGAGGCTGGGATATGATTAGGCAATGAGAGGAAAGCAAGAGCTCCTTCATCTTCAACTTCTCAAGGGATGGTGAAGCTCCTGTAAATTCAAGTTATGGAGTTCAATGAACCCTGTCCTAAGAGAAAGAAACACTGTTATAGCATAGGGGTGGAGTGTCTCTGAAAAAGCTCTTGACTCGTCATTATCTTCTGCACTCTGCACAGGACTCCAGGCCCAGCAGGAACTGCAGATGCCCAACAGCAGCTCCATCAGCCAGTTCCTCCTCCTGGCGCTGGCAGACACGCGGCAGCTGCAGCTCCTGCACTTCTGGCTCTTGCTGGGCATCTACCTGGCTGCCCTCCTGGGCAACGGCCTCATCAGCACAGCCGTAGCCTGCCACCACCGCCTGCACACCCCCATGTACTTCTTCCTGCTCAACCTCGCCCTCCTCGACCTGGGCTGCATCTCCACCGCTCTCCCCAAAGCCATGGCCGATGCCCTCTGGGACACCAGGCACATCTCCTACGCTGGATGTGTTGCCCAGACCTTTCTGTTTGTCTTTCTGATGTCAGCAGAGTATTGCATCCTCACCATCATGTCCTATGACCGCTACGTTGCCATCTGCAAGCCCCTGCACTACGGGACCTTGATGGACAGCAGAGCTTGTGCCACCATGGCAGCAGCTGCCTGGGGCACTGGGCTTCTCCATGCTCTGCTGCACACTGTCAGTACATTTTCTCAGCCACTGTGCCGAGGCAA